GCTGTGTTCTTTTCACTGTTTCACACTTGACTCAGCCTTCCAACTATCCTCAGTTCAGTTCAGTTCAGTCACTCAGTCGCGTCCGACTCTTTGCGACCCCATGGACTGCAGCACGCCAGGCTTCCCTGTCATCATCAACTCCTAGAGCTTGCTCAAATTCATCAGGTGGCCAAAGTATCAGGGCCTCAGCTTCAGCATCAGTCCTTCCAGTGCATATTTGTGATTGAGTTCCTTTAGGATGGACTGCCTGGATCTCCTTGCAGTCCAAGGGACTCTCAAGAGTCTTCTCCAACACCACAGTTCAAAAGCTTCAATTCTTCGGGGCTCAGTTTTCTTTATAGTCCAACTCTCATATCCATACATGACTACTGGATCAACCATAGCTTTGACTAGATGGACCTTTGTTGGCAAAGTAATGCCTCTCTTTTAATATGCTCTCTAGATTGGTCATAGCTTTTCTTCCTCAGAGCATCACTCAAAACCTTCTCCATGGAAGGTTTTATTCCCTCATTACCAAACAGATAACAAGTTTTATTCCCTTGTTACCAAACAGGAGCTCAAACACACTCTAACTTTCCACTTTCCATTTTTATTTAATTTTTTAAAAATTCTCATCCTACAGGTTCTAAAGAGGGATTTACTTGGCAATTCTTTGTTGGCTTGTATTCATATGTGTCTGATTCCTTTCCCAGGAGGCAGCTCACTGGATGATGTACTGAGTCTGTCTGCTTCCTGCTGAATTCTGAGGCTCAGCTCTTGTTGGCACTAAATCTGTATCCACTGAATTCAGGTCCAAGTGCGGACAGGAATAATCTTACAGAACACATGATCTTTATGATGCCTCTATAGGGCTAAATGTTTACAGCACACTGTAGTGAACCTGTTTCTAGTCTGTGACTGTCAGAGGAAGTAGAAACCAAGACACTGTGCAGAGAAATGCAACTTTTCTCTGACTCCTTGTACACAACTTCAGAAGGGCGGGTCAGGGGTTTACTGTTGCTGATGATGGCTCTTGTTTCTAACCTGACATCAGCTAACACTCATCCATTATTACAGTAGGGTGGAGGAGGTGGGAAACTCCAACTCCTATATAACTGATATTAACAACACACTTTGACCAAGGACTACATCAAGAGGCTGATTGATTGGAATACCCAGAAAGGAAGGAAGCATCCATCATTCAGAAAACTAACATGTATGATGAAAAGAAAACAGACACTGATTGACAAATACCAATAAAACATAAAACATAAAAACAATGGTGCACAGTGCTGAGACATGAGACCTTTCTCTATGGGACCCGTCCTCTCTGATATTTGTAGGAAATTTACTCCTCTTCGAGTCAACCTGCAACAAGTCAAAAAGTTTCCACAAGGATTAGGAAATTTATGGAGATGTTACCTTTTTTCTTTTCACATCTCTCTTTTCCTCTTCTCCTGGAGACCTTCGAGAGGTTCTCAATGGAAAATACGAGCTCAACGGAAGCTCTGAATGGTGATGATTTTTAGCAGGATTACTTGAGACAAAGGATAGATATTACCTCCTCCACTCACATTGGGTGTTGATCTGTCCCTCACAGGGGCTCTGTGCACCTCAAAATGTCTCCCTGACATTTAGTAACAAATGATGCTTCTTTCCTGAGTCAGACTAATAGGGCAGCCTTGGGAGCTATGCTTAAATCTACAGCCTGTGTTGACCATTGAGGGGGCCCCTCCTCTGTGTTACCCTGCTTCTAGCTGGGGACTCCCTAGAGACCAACATGCATGTCTATCTTCCATCTTGGTACATTACAGTTTATCTAACTGAACCCTGGGGCTCTCTTTCCCTGAGCTCACAGGTCTAAGGGACAAACAGTCACAGAGTCGGGGTGTGGGGTGACTTCTAAACTCACTTGGGGCCACTGTACTCCAACATTCTAAGCCTTCTTTGTTGTCCAATATAGGTGTTGATGAGGACCACTTCTGCTAAAGCCATCCGCCCATGCGTGTGACTGAATGACCCTTGGCTCTGGACCCAAGATCCTTCACAGGCCCACTGGAAATAAACTGCTGACTAAAGAGCATTGATCAGGTCCTCCTCTTAGTTTTAAGACAGACAGAGCCTGCTGTGGGGACTGGAGGAAGTGATAAATCCTTTGTTTTGACATGCTTGTCGCCCCAGAGAAATAGGAGGCGTTCCAATAGCCTCTTGGGAAATAGTGTTCAGTTTATTAAATGATACACTCAATTTAATTTTAGAAAACACATGTTAAACTGTCTAAATATTAAGGAAACAATACAGGAGTAGGGATATATGTACCTTGGACAGCATATCCCCAGTTTGATGTCAGGATACAAAGGAAAATAAACATTCCTGACCTTGAAATATCGGACGTGTTTTATGATTTCTCATTCACTCTAAAGGTCAGATGTCCAGATCCCCTCAAGCTTCTCCTAAAACAATCGTCATGATAAAAATGACAAAATGGCATGAGAGATGGCTGCTGCCAAGCAGGATACTGAAGATGCCTTCTGTGTAAACTTGGTCTTAGGAGGAACAACCATTGGTTCAAGACGCATCATGCCAACATATAAGTCCTACAAAAAGTGGCACCCGTTTCCATCCTCTCCAACCACTGGGATACCCTCAGCCTCGACAGAAGAAAGACTGCAGGAGCGTCAAAATGAAGGTTGCGTTCCTGAGTTTACTACTTGTCGTGGTTTGTGCTGCCCAAGAAGAGGAAGCTCAGCCAAGTCTCTCAGAGGTACCAGGGATGGTCTGATCTTGGAGCAGGTCTTGGGTGTGTGTGTGTGTGTGTGTGATCCTTTCATGGTTTTGTTATGTGGATCCATAATGTGAGCCATCTCTCTCCATCTCAACATTGGTCCACTTAATGGCTCTATACCTGTCTGTTTCATCTCTACTGTGTATTGGCTGCCTCTTTTGCATTTTTTCTGCTCTAGTAACAGAGAAAGAGGATCGGCCAAACAGCTGTTGGATTCGAGATCCTGCAATTGACATCAGAGATCAAGCTCTCTCAGAAATGTCTCAATTGCTCCTTTCACTCTAACTTCACTTTTACCATATTTTATAAACCCTACTTTGTCCAGTCCATTTTGATTATGTCTCTGATTTGCACACCTGATGGGAAACTCATGCCTGATGAGGCTGGAGGAAAGAGAAAAACAAGGACTACAATTTCTAAGGGGAATTTTGCTGTTAGCTTTCAGGGCAATGGAGAACCGTGTACATTGCACCCAGTAACCTGGAGAAGATCAAGTCCAATGGGCCATTCAGGGTTTGCCTCAAGAAACTTCTGTCTAATGATGAACTGGGCACAGTAGACTTTTACTTTTATGCCAAGTAAGTAAAAATTGCCCGGAAGGAAAATACAGGTAAAACCCCGAGCCTCAGGGAGGGTGCGTCTTCCCTGTCTGCAGGGAGATCTCTGGATAATGTTGAAAGCATGATGCTCTGAGTTTTGTGGCTGAGCAGGGTCTCTGAGCTGGGGGGGGTGGGGGGTGAAGTTCCCCTGCGAGCTTCCAGGGAATATCCTAGAGCCTTTGCTTCATTAGGGAGTGGGGGGGGGGGTTCCCAGAAGCTCCACCTGCATCAGCTCATTAAAGGGAAGAGGGACACATATATAATCTTCCTATGTCATATAAGCATATTGTTTGTGCTTGTGTATGTATACGTCTCAACATTGGGGTGTTCCATTGTTTCATCCCCTTATACTACTGTGATGGAAGAAGAGTGTGTTTTCATAAAATTAAATACTTCCTTCCCTAAGTTTGTGACTTTTTTCCTATCACGTTATTTAACAAATCATCACCAGGGTTGTTAGAACTCCCAACGTTTGTCATGATGGCCACAACTCTCTGTTTGCAGGAAGTATATGTTAAACAGGTATTCTTTTATTTTTCTAAAATTCTTGATTTTTCCATATTCAGCTTTAAACACGATTTACTTTGTATTTGTAGTTTATCTTTGGGATTATGGCTCAGGTTTAATAAACAAGCCATGCTTGCCCCTTGAAAGTGACTTGCCCTTAGAAAACATATTTCTTCTCTTTTGAAGGTCACATTGGGCATAGGCACTGAGCTTATATGTCACACTTTACCTTTGGGAAGAAGCAAAGAAAATCCTATTTATATATGAAATTTTTTTCATGACTTTAATCGACCTGCTTGAAGTCGATTTTAAGACACAAGGGAAACTGGGAATATAAACATTTCATGGGAATAAAGCAAGATGATGGTTCTTTTGCTTTTGACTGTAAATATGTGTGTTTCACTGGTCAGAGTTAGTTTGGGTGGAAATCTTGACATAACTTCCTTCAGTAATCCCACACATGTGAATTCTACTCCTATGAGCAGAGGGGTGAGCATGTTCCAGTCCCTAAGATCTCCAAGTATTTTATTTTGTCACGAGACAAGGCTTCAAACAAACATCTTGGAGGTCTCCACCCAATGATGAGTGTTGCCCAATGATATAGCATGTGGAGACCTGTATTTCATATGGTTCTTACAGATAATTTACAACAGCCTTATAAACTGATGTCGCCTGAGTCTAAAGTATGCACACCAGTATCATTCACTTAAAAAAAAATCTTAGAACATCTTAATCCATCCAAGGCTCAGTGGATGAACATAAATCCAAGGAAATAATTCTGAGTTCAGTCATCAGAGCAGTTTCTGTTGATAGCCATGGGGAATCTGGCTAACATTTATATCCCTAGGTTCTTTATAACAGGCCCAAAATATATTCCTAATTTTACAGGGCCTAAAGGGTACATATTTGACTACAACTTGAGTGTATCCAATCAACGGTATGAAAATTCGGGAATGGAAAAGTCTTGTCTCTTTCACTTGCTGCCATAACAACCATAGCATTCAGCCTACCCGTGGAGTGAGACACAGATCTATATAGCATGAACCATTACTACCTCAAAATATCACAATACATCCAACTGATGATACGCTGAGGCAAGGTTGTATATATGTATCTTTTCTCTCTCACAGGTGAGGGTGAAAATGCATTTGAGGTTGTTCATGTGTCCAAAACCGTTCTGGTAACACATAACATCAATGTGGATAAACACGGCAAGAAGACAGTACTGATTGGGCTATTTGGTATGTATGACATCCTCTTGTCCACATGGACATGATCATGTAACATTCCCATCATCTGCATTTTTGTCCATAAAATCAGTATATGGTGACTAGATCCATTATATCCATGACTCACCCTACAGGACCTAGTTCTTTTCATTCACAGAGTTAAGGACTCTGGAAAGTAGTCTGCCAGGAAAGAGGAGCTTGTAAGGGTATGGGGATCAGATCATCAGGAATTTCAAAATAATTCTCCCCTGTGGAAATTTCAAAATAAGCTGAATTTTACTAAAAACAGCTTAAATAGTTTTTAAAATTTAAATAGGAGGAAAATTACAATGTTTTTCAGTTTCTAGTTTTTTTTTTTTTTAAACACCTCAATTAACATCAAGCCATGGCTATATAATGAGGCTACTTTCAATTTCCTCAGTTGACACCAGTTTCTTAATACTCTCTAAGCCTTGGAACAGAAACTTTAATAATTAAACTTCATCTCTTTCAAATTTTCAGATGCATTATTTTTATGAACACTGATAACACCCCAAATAACCACACAGAGGCTCTGAGAAGTGGGAGAGTTATGTGAACCAACAGGATATCAGGTGTCTGCTCCAGGAAAGGTATAGGGTAGAACACTATATTTTTACAGAATAGTTCATGTCCCATTATCATGTGTGACGTGGTGAACACGTCTCTCTGTCAGGGGAGAACCCTGGTTCCTACTTATCTGGGTCCAGAACATGGCCTGAGTGGCAGCTATAGACACTGGGATGATGGTCAAAGAGAAGGTCATTTCCATACTGTGATGGATGGGCCCCAAATTCATCGAGCTACTGAGAGTCTTTAAGGGTCCTGTTACTGATGCTGGTGGGGATCTAGTTACACAGTCGGACAGAAATTAATGCTTAAGACAGACAGCAGATATCTGTGTCATGGGAAATACAAATGGCTTGAGGCTTAAACTGTAACAAGTGAAGATCTGACTTGCACACTCAGCTACTTTTTCTGCACTGAGAAATTTTTCTGGGATCTAAGAGGTAAAAAATTCTGTTTTCTGCATGGTATTTTTCAGTTAAAGTAAATATTGAAGAGGAAGGCTTGCAGAAGTTCAAGGAGCTGACGCAAGAGAAAGGGATTGAAGAGGAAAATGTTGTGAGTTTCATCAAAACTGGTAATGGAATTATACTTTTTCATAAATTTATCATTCACCTGATAGGTAAATATTCTATTAATAAACAAATCAACTTATTTAAAATTTCTTTCTCCATAAATAATCTTTTCCATAATCTCTTACTTTAAAAAACAAAAATACCCTTGTAAATCTTTGGAATGGTAGTAATCTGTGAATCTTTATTTCCTGTCCTTTTCATCTTCCCCCAGATGACTAGCTTCCCTGAGGAAAACTACGCATTTCAAAGCAGCCTCAGGGTAAGTGAAAAACATCTGTTATTAATGTTGTTGCATTAAATAAATCAATAAGGACACATGGTGATTTCATATCTGTCAAATTCTGCAGGTGATTTTTTTTTTTTGTCCCAACAAATTACATTAGCTTATTTCTCTTCTCTGGAGCCATATTAAATCGCAAATGGGTCGCTTGATTAATGCTGAGCAGCTTTGGTGAGAAAGCCACATCCTGCAGGAATCTTGCAGACCAGAGTCATCAGAGAGAAGCAGGAATGGACACCAGTGGGTGGAAACTAATTAGTGTTCCCGTCAGTCCTGTCCTCACGGTTGCCCACACACATCCCTCCTCCAGGAGAACTGGGATTAGAGAGAGCTCATGTTGTCTGCAAGACCAGTGTCGAATCTCAGATGTTTCTGACAGAACCTAAAGGACTTCTAACCATGTGTCTGAAGCATGCATTTCAATTATATTCCCCTTGAGAAAGAGATTTTCTTAAAGTGAGATCTTTCAGTTTTCTAAACTAAGACAGCTTCAAAAATTGTCACTGATTTCGGGTAAAATGTAACTTCTAATTTTCTGTTGAAGAAAAAAAAATGAAAGACACAAATAAAAGAAAAACTCTAGCTTCTTAGTGAGTGGGATAAGAAAGAGGTGCAGCATATAGTCAGTGAAATATTACTCAGTCATAAAAAAGAACAAAATCCTGCATTTGCACCAACATGGATGGACGTAGAGATCACCATACTAAGTGACGTAAGTCAAAAGAAAAAGATAAGTATCACATGATACCACCGTATGTGGAATCTGAAACAACGACACGGAGGAACTTATTTACAAAACAGCCTCAATGACCTGGAGAAGAGACTCATGGTTGTCAAGGGGGAGGATGCTGGGGAAGAAAAGGATGGGGAGTTTGGGATTAGCAGATGCAACTATTATCTATAGGATGGATAGACAACAAGGTCAAACTGTATATCACAGGCAACTCTCTGCAGTATTCTGCAGAAACCTTCATAGGAAAGGAATCTGAAAAAGGATAGATGTTTATATGTGTACATAAAAATTATTCAATTTGCTGAACTCCTGAAACTAATATAGCATTGTCAATGGTCAATGTTGTCAATGTTATATTGTCAATCACATATACTCCAATATAAAATAAAAACTAAAAAATTGATTCTTGAAGACTGAAAAGATAAAACTTGCAGTATCAGAGGCATGTGCTCTAATCACAACCCTGAACATGCATTCTGAAACTGTAGCTCCTAGAATTGACCCAAATGGGGGACATCACCCCACATGTACCTCCTGGAGAAAATTCCACACAGACCCCCATCTACATCAGAGAGATGTGGAATACTGACATCCACCAGCATTCTGTCCATTGGATCAGCTACCAGCTCGGGTACTCATGGACATCATACTGCCTGAAGCTCACCCCTGTCAGCCATCACACAGCCGACTCTCCTAAACCTTTGGTTCTGGTTTACTCACCTACAGAAAGAGTCCCTGAGATCAGACACGCCCTTGTCTCCATGGAACCAAGACCAGCAACATGAAGATGACTTTCCCAGTTCCTGATTAACGTGATCCTTCCCTCTTCACACTCACACTCCCTTTACTGTCTCATATCTGCTCATCTGTAATCACATCCTGTCTGGCGGTACTTGATTCCTGAGGATTTAATTAACTTGGTTTAATGCACACCTGACTTATGTGTATCTGTAGAGGAAGTCTCCTTTTTCAAAAGATGCACCTTAAGTTTGCCCAGAAACATACGCCTTTAAACAGAGAGCTGCTCCATTAGAGACACGGAGTAAATAGACGTGTCCTGGCTTCCCTGGTGGCTCAGAGGCTAAAGCATCTGCCTGTAGTCTGGGAGACCTGGGTTCGATCCCTGGGTTGGGAAGTTCCCCTGGAGAAGGAAATGGCAACCCACTCCAGTATTCTTGCCTGGAAAATCCCATGGACAGAGGAGCCTGTGTGCGCTCTATTCCACAGGGTAGCAAAGAGTCGGACATGACTGAGCGACTTCACTTTCTTTCAGAGGTGTCCAGGGGAGAGGAGAAAAAAGACTAAGTCTTCATGGGACAGAGGACAGGGTTCAGGATCCTCTCGCTGTAGGGAAGGGGACAAGAAAGATGTCCCTGGAAAGCTTCCTCTTCATTACAAGGAAAGGAGCAGGTATTACACTCTCTGACCTTCACGGAGAGAAGGTATAAGATGCCACGGGCCACAACAGGATCAGTGGGTATTCTGACAGCACCAGAATTTCTGCAATTGAGCCGAAGGGCTGATGTTTATTACCTTTTGGATCACTGCCAAACCAAGGTCAGCAGCCACCGAGCCTTGGTCAATCCATAAGAACGTGTTTGTTGTCAGTGCAGTCTCCGCAGGAACAAGATGATTGAAAGGAGTCGCAACTGTTCACAACTTCTAAAAGTGGTCTTCCATCCTCTTAAACTTCAAAGAGGAGGGCATGTTAGTATTTCCAAGGAATGGACATTCCCACTGTCACTGGTGGAGCACACTACTCAGCTCCCCATGGTGCTCGAGGTGTTTACAATCTACAACATCTAGCAGCCTCAGGATATAGGACTTATTTAAGGGTTGGGCCAAAGCATAGAGATGGAGTTTAAGAGCTGGCAGAATAAAACTAGACCTCAGTGATATGTACAGAATTAACGTTTTAGTTCCTACAGAGACTTGACCTCCAAATGAGCTATAGCTCAGTTCAGTTCAGTTCAGTCGCTCAGTCTTGTCTGACTCTTTGAGACCCCACCAACTGCAGCACGCCAGGCTTCCCTGTCCATCGACTGGGTGATGCCATCCAACCATCTCATCCTCTGTCGTCCCCGTCTCCTCCCGCCTTCAATCTTTCCCAGCATCCGGGTCTTTTCAAATGAGTCAGTTCTTCATCAAGTGGCCAAAGTATTGGAGTTTCAGCTTCAGCATAAATCCTTCCAATGAATATTCAGGACTGATCTCCTTTAGGATGGACTGGTTGGATCTCCTTGCAGTCCAAGGGACTCTCAAGAGTCTTCTCCAACACCACAGTTCAAAAGCATCAATTCTTCAACACTCAGCCTTCCTTATAGTCCAACTCTCACATCCATACGTGACTACTGGAAAGACCATAACCTTGACTAGATGGATCTCTGTTGGCAATGTAATGTCTCTGATTTCTAATATGCTGTCTAGGTTGGTCATAACTTTCCTTCCAAGGAGTAAGCATCTTTTAATTTCATGGCTGCAGTCACCATCTGCACTGATTTTGGAGCCCGAAATAATAAAGTCTGTCACTGTTTCCATTGTTTCCCCATCTATTTGCCATGAAGTGATGGGACCAGAGGCCATGATCTTAGTTTCCTCAGGATATAGGATTTATTTTAAGAGTTGGGGCAAAGCATAGAGATTCAGCTTAAGAGCTGGCAAAATAAAACTAAACCTAGGTGATACGTAATAGAATTAATGTTTTAGTTCCTACAGAGACTTAGCCTCTAAATGAGCTACAGCTGGCCAATGTCAAAGGCACCAATAACGAAAGTTTTCCTGGCTTAGCTGGTGGTAACAGGGGTCAAGTAACAACTTTTAAATTGTCACACTTGTATAGCCCAATGCATGCAGTTGAAGTTCTATGATCTTCACAGAACGTCTGGGAATGCTGGATTGATGGGTGGATACATACAAAGGCAACTGAACACAGAGGGATGGGGTGAATCTCTTAAGAAACTTTGAAGTGCAAGACCTGTTATGAATAAGTCAGCAATTCTGAAATATCATATACACATATATGTATTTATGTATATATATATATACACACACACCCATATATACAGATACACATATATACTCAAATATACATGTGTGTGACTACGTGTATCTGTGATAACTATATAAATAAAAAATGCATTATCACCACAAAGTCAAAAGATACAGACTATGAGGAAACTATACACAGATATATGTTTTTGGAATTAATACTCCTGACAAAAATATACACATTGCTTGCATGATGGGTTACAAGAATTAATATATGATAAATCCAAACATTTCTAATATCATTTGTCTATAAATGAAATGGAGAAGACTGTTCCACAAATTTGCAGGCCTGGTATATTTAAAAGTAAATTTAGAAGAAATATCACACATATGTAGTGATGGTGGTGGTTCAATTGCTAAGTTGTTTCCAAATCTTGGGACCCTGTGAGTTCATAGTAAAGTTTTTTTCCATTCTAATTTGCTACTTAATTCTTAGACAGAATAAGTTACCTCCGACAGATTTCTTTAAAGTCTACAAGCCCATGTGTGCTGTATTTAGTCGCTCAGTGGTGTCTGACCCTTTGCGTCCCCATGGACTGTAGCCTGCCAGGCTCCTCTGTCCATGGGGCTTCTCCAGGCAAGAATACTGGAGTGGGTTGCCATGCCCTCCTCCAGGGGATCTTCCCAACCTAGGAATCGAACCTAGGTCTCCCACACTGCAGGTGGATTCTTAACCGTGTGAGCTACCAAACCCATAGAAAACTGTAATTCCAAAATGTACATGCATGTACTATGAATAATAGTCAGAACATGGAAGCAAGTGATATGTTCACCAACAGGGGGATGGCAAAAGATGTCAATACTTTTGTTATTGTTTACTTGCTAAGCCATCCGACTCTTTGTGACCCCATGGACTGTAGCCCACTAGGCTCCTCTGTTTGTGGGATTTCCAAGGCAAAAAATACTGGATTTACACCATGGAACACTATTTAGTCATTTGCAGAGAAGTGGGTGTCACTACAGGCTGTCAGACATAAAGTGTAGCA